AAAGTGTCTACACAAAAGAAATATTGGGAGAATGATATTTATAATAATGTATTTCAAAACATCACAGAAGATGAACTCGAGTTAGCAATTAAATCCATCGCTAAGTGGAAGGCACCAGGTTTAGACAAGATTCAGGGGTACTACATTAAATACTGTGTCTGTACACATGGAACACTACTCGACATCTTTAAGAGATGGTACAGGTTCCCTGATGAAATTCCACAAGAAATGTTAGTAGGCAGGACAGTATTAATTCATAAAGGTGGAGACTCTAAGAATCCAGCCAATTACCGGCCAATCACATGTCTAAACACAATCATCAAGATATTCACTTCAATTCTAAGAACCAAAATGATGAAGCAACTAAAGTCAACTCCTGCTGAGAAGAGACTTGAGAAGAACCAGTTAGGATGCAAGAGGTTCACATATGCATCAAAAGAAGGATTATTACAGAACATTCTTTTCCAAGCTGCCTTGAAGAAAACCAACAAAAGTATCTGGAAGCTTACTACGACATCAGAAAGGCGTACGACTCGGTCAACCATGAATGGCTTTCTAAGTGCCTCCAATTCTACAATATCCCAAGTGAAATCATTTTTCTAATTGAAGAAATGATGAATCGATGGAGAATATCTTTGACGTATAATGGAGATATTGTAGGGGATGTTCGTGTGAGGAATGGTATCTTACAATGAGACTCACTATCACCACTGCTATTTTGTATCTCGATAGACTGCATATCCAAGACGCTCAACAAAACAATCAAACCAGTACAGATACGGTCCAAATTGAATGACACTACGATCGAACTCGGTCACACCATTTATATGGATGATCTGAGAGTCCTTGCTCCAACAACTCAGCAAATGGAACGGGTCCATAACATAGTGCGGATCTTTTGAAGCAATGGCTATGGAAGTCAACAAGGCCAAATGTGGTGTAGCTGCTCGAAATGGAGAAACAATCCCAGATAATATGCAAGATGTCCCTCGAGTGAATTCAGAAACCCCGTACAAGTACCTTGGTGTTGAACTGGACGACCATGTAGACACACATGCGTATTGCACAAGAATTGTAGAGGGGATAGAGGACTGTATGAATAGGATAGTATGACGAAACCTGAGCGCTGTCAACTTTATAAGAACCATTAACGGCGATATCATATCGAAATTGAGATATGGATACAGCGTAGTACCATGAAGTTGGGGCAGTTAGACCAACTTGATGGGAAGATCAGGAAATTTCTTGTTGATCAAAACTTAAATGGTAAAGGACTAACCAAATACAGACTGTATGTCTCACAAATGAAACTTGGTTATGGCCTCATGGGTTGCAGGGACGAATGTGGCAAAGAACTAATCCGTGTGTTCCTCAAATACATTTGGCATAGCGACTCCAACATAGCAGATCTGCTTATACACACACGCGACAGTCCTTGTAATCTGTTCAAATGAGCGGTTAACTGCCTCAAAGCAAAAGTAACACAAGATGAACCCGAGAGATTCATAGAAGAAGAGTCCAAAAAAGGCAAGTTTCTTGAAGCAGTTTTGGAGTTTATCAGATGCAAGATCGATGACTTCTACTTTGAAAAATGGAAATCATTGGGCCAATCAGGAACACTAGCCAGAATGTTTGTCCATAATCAATGCGATCAAAACACATCTGGACGAGCCTGGAAAAACTGCAATATCAAAAAATCTGCATTCCTTCAAGTGGTGAAAATGCAAGAGAATGCATCATTTGTTGGTCCAAGAAGGGTACTTATCACAAAGAAACGAGGAGAAGAAAAATGCTATTGCTGCAAAGATCTAGTAGCGACAATCCCGCACATACTCCTCAGTTGCCCAATGACAAAAAATCCCAGATCGACAGACACAACTGTGTCTGCAATATGATCATGTAGGCTTACTAAAAAAGCTAAATATGACAAATGCGAACATGGATCTGGCAAACCCACCAAAGTGCCTCGAAGACGAAGACAAAAAGAACATAGTGATGTCTGAAATGAATCTTCTTGTAGAAGACAGACAATTGTTTGCCAGAAGGCCAGATATATTGGCAATGCAACGAAACGAAGCGAGGGTATTTGATTGATGTCACAATTGTGAAGGATGAAAATCTTGCCAGAACATACTCAACCAAAATTGGGAAGTACTCGATTCTAGCTGAAAAACTTAGGAGAGACCGAGATATGAAAAATGTATTAATAATACCAGTTGTAATTACCATCAGCGGCCTAATCAATAAACTGTCCGTTGAAAGACTTGAGAAAGAACTCAAAATCAAATTGGATTACAACAAGCTCCTTCGACATGTTACTGTGACATGCATGTAAAACTTAATGAGTTACATAAACCATGGAAAGGCATCCTTTGAAAGTGAACACTCACTGGATAGCCCAGTACATGAAACTGGAAACGGGGAAGATGAGATGGTTCAGAAAGAGGACTGCTCGGAGTCATGTGAGCCTACCGAAGAGCTGGGCGTAACATAATTGAATTCTTATTATATTATTTTACTTTTCATATACTTTTAATATTTTAAGATGTTTGTCTGTTTAACCATATAAACTAATTTTAATATGAAAAATCGAATGTGTTATATTTTCGACACCGAAAATGTTATTACAATAATACCAAAACAATTTTAATCTACAGATTGGATCTTTAAATTGATAATAATTAAAAATAAATTAAAAACTATATTTTTATAGTTTAAAAAAAAGTGATTAATTAAAAGAATTAAATATAAAATTTTCTAAAAATATAGGTTTATATTTTAATAATTATTTTTTACTAGTTTAGTTATTGTTTATTTACAAAAAAATTTCTTTTGGACTTTTTTTTTATATTTTAAACCGAGATATTGTAAAAAAAATATGATATAAAATAAAGTTTAATAAAGTCTAATTTGTTTTAGATAATAATTATAAGTTCAGTCTGCATGTTTTATCAATAAACACCAATCGAGTATTACAAAATAAACTAACAATATGCCAATTGAAAAATATTAATTTTTTAATAAAAACTTTTTAATAAAAAGGTGAAAATTTTAGCTGACTTTTCAATCCCGTCATAGTTTTAAATAAACTAATAATATACTTAAAAGAACCATTATAACTGTTTCATTTGAGACTTTTCCAAATTCTCAAATTGAACTATAAGCAAAAACGCGAAAACATGTTTTTCAAAACGAAAAAAAACTCAAAACACTTAGTGCAATGAAGAGCAAAACTCTTCTATTATTTCTTTTGTTTCTTTTTTTCAGGCTTATCCCATGTGTAGCTTCGCTGACTTCTTTAAACAACTCAAAAACGGACGATCAATCAATAGTAAAACAATGGTGGGGCGAATGGGATGAGTTTAATATAGAGTACCGTAACGGCGATTTGTGGACATATGACAAAACAAATGATTACCGTGGGTGGTACATGGACTTAACAATCACATCCAAAGACTCAGAAAATTTTATCATCACAAATGAGTGTTGCGGCAAAGATCGTAACAACCGGTCAAACAACTTTTTCACGTTCCACAACACTTACACGCCCTATTACTACAAAAATTTCGATTTTTCGAATGTGATTGAAACAGACAAAGGAAGAGAGACACTTAATATGACATTTCTCACAACAGTCAAAGGAGTGACGCACTACTACTTCACCACCGGTGAGATGCTTGATGGATCGACCTTCAATTTTGGAGGTCGGTCTGTGATTCCAGCCGGGTCTGCTTTACAATTTGATGTCTATGCCAAAAAGATGTATATTCATGTCATAGAAGGATACTACGAAATCATTCAATTGGGATTGAGAATCACCCCAATACCCCTAATCATCGTGTATGGAAATTCAACAGTAAGACCCGTCTTATATAACGATTTTGAAGGCGTTCTTTATTTCTTTGCTTTTGGTGATGAGTTACCAGAAACAGGAGATGTGATATCCAGTATTAATAACCCCAAACGCTTGTACTCGACATATAAAATTTGTAACATTGAACGTCGTGCTCGTGTTGTCATAGCACAAAGTGGACAAAATCTTATAGAAGATTGTACGTGCACGTACTCAAATTTCGAGTATTTAAATTCTTATGTGGATTGTTATGAATTGAGTAAGTATCGGATTTTTAATATCTCAGCTTCACAAGACTCTTTGCCCGACCAACAAGACTGGAACTCTTTTGTAATCAACGAAGACGTTTCATTGACTCTTCCTAAAACAAATCACCTCAATTTCTATGGCGACCAAACGCTTCCACAACACTCATTTTACTTCTCCGGTGCAATCAATTTCCAAAAAATTATTATACAAAAGTCCACAGCATACTACGACTTGGGAACTTTTACTTTGTCAGCTGTCACCATATCAAGTGACGTTGATAACGACGCTGTACTCTTTCGAGGCATTGCGCGCGATAGTGATCACATCGCGTCTCTTGGGATCTCAGAAGAAAAATGTGGAGACAAGACCCACCGATTTGTACAACAGACCTCGAACATTGGGTGTAATTGCACACAATATAGTGACGGTTCTTTTATTCAATTTGACTGCGACGATGCAACGAAACGGCCACAAGACAATTTACTCAATTTGAATTTGACGTATAGCTATGATGGTGGCAATCAGAGGAGGTATTGGGGTTCAATATTTTCTGTCCTTTCATCATCGTCATCAAATCCTGAAGAGGAACTTGCCATTTCAGGTTCAGAAATATTTGTCACAAATTTATGTGATTTTAATGGCACCCATAACTTGAGAATCAAAGGTTCGTTGATGTGCAGTGAGTTGATTATAGGAGGAGAAACCCATATAGTCGTGGACGAGGGTGCGACACTGAGTTTCAACAAACTGACTATTATTGGCGAAATACCCGATAATTTGAATAAAAAGGCTCTCATTGAAGTGAAAGGCACGTTAGGTATTACTTCTGCAATATCAGTGGACTTCGACGCAGTTACTTCAAATAATTGTTTTGAATTTGCAACATCAGACTATCAATTTGATATCAGTCTCAACTCGTTGAAAACGCTCACAAGAGGAATTTTCGTTTATAACAAACTCCTTAGAATCTGTAAATTGGATACTATTAATACAAATGTTGACTGTGAAATCAAAGACAATCAATATGGCAAGTTCGAGTTTCAACAGTGTCCATGTTCTTCTAGTGACAAAAATACTTTTAATTGTAATGTGTTCACTAATAACAACCAAATCGATTTTTCCAAAAATCAACAATTAACAGGAGCAACACTTGTCGTTAAAAAGGATATCACAATACTCAACATCAAGTCAATTGAACGTTTGAGTACAAGTGGAGATATAACTCTCGAGATTCAAAGCGCGAGTTCTGCTACAATTGAAAATATGGTATTTAATGACGTAAGTCCTCTTATTGTCTCAAAGTGTGATTTGGAAGTATATGACACTGTTGGATTCAAATATAAACCATCGCAAAAATTGACATTTTCAAGTGAGTCAACCATCATAGCAGACTTATACGAAGAACCGACGTCATCTCTTGTACTGAGCGCATCGGTAAAGAGTCTTTCGTTAAAAGCACTCTCACAATCACAGAATAAGACAACACCACTCTTCTCAATGAAATCCACCTCAGATGTTTTAACTGTGATGTTACTCCCAACAACTTCTAATGTCGATAGAATTATTTTAAAACGACTTTCCAGAGAAATTGAAATAACCCCATCAAAGAAGTCGGAGTATTTGTTCGAGTGCAGTGGACAAGCACTCATCGTGTATAACAATCCATCATCCCCCTCTTCCTGTGCAACTTTGGGGTTGTTGTATCGTTCGTGTTTTGCATGTGGTTCTGGGTGTTATAATAACGAAGAAGCTTTGAGAGACTACTCTTGCCCATGTTTACAGACAGAGAGTCAGTGTGTTATTCAATTGGATGGTAATCAATTTGACCCAACGAACGACCTTACTTATCTGGTCACACAAGACACTTCCTTCGTCTCGACGACCTATTTACGAAATTTCAAAATTGTTTCTTCGACAAACCAAAATGTTATAACAATCAACGGATGGAACATGTTTGTCAGAGTTCTTGGTCTTGAAGGGTTGAAGATTACTGTGGCCAACGGAAAGTACGACACACTTTCCGTACAAGGTCGCTTTGGGTTTGTTATACCATCAAACACATTTACAAACAAGTTAAAAAGTGCTTCAAATCACACGAAAAGTACTTTCAAAAGTGAAGACTACGTGACGTTCACAATTTCATCAAAAGAGTATTGCACCGACGTGTTGATTGGCGGTTCGATACAGTGTATTCGGTGTGGTAATACTTCACCAAACTCAAATGGTCTTTGCAACCAACGAGGTCTTAAAGACAATTGTAACAAGTATGACACTGATGGATATTGTTCCGAATGTGATGAAGGGTTCTATCTTAAAGGTGACAAATTCACTAACATTCTCTGTGCGACGTGTGCAAGTGTTGATGCAAATAACTGTCTGAAGTGCACAAGTCGGGGAAAGTGTTTGTTGTGTAAAGATGGTTATAGACTCACCAATAACAAGTGTGAAGCTGTAGTCAATTGTGCTGGGTATGTTTTGGGTGCGTGTCGTATGTGTTCCGAGGGGACTTATTTATCTGCTGGTGAATGTGGCGAGAATTGTAACACTGATTGTTCAGTTTGCTCAAGTTCGACGAGTTGCCAAGTTTGTGACGCAGAAAGTAAATATTTTATAAAAAGCGATTTGACGACATGTAAGACGGATAGCAACGCCATTACAGTTGGCTATAATAATGTACTTTCTTGTATAAATGGATTTGTAGTTACCAATGGAACATGTCAATCGTGTACACCAAATTGTGAGATGTGTGTGCGTGATCAATGTATAAAGTGTGCTGGAGGGTTTTCTTTGGTGTCTGGTGTCTGTCAAACTGTTTCCAAATGTTTACTTGTGAGTGAGTCGAAATGCAAACGGTGTGATATAAATTATTATGTTACATCAAGTGGTTCTTGTGGGCTTTGTAGCAATATCAATTGTATTCATTGTCGTGATAACACGAGTAATTCATGTGAGCTCTGTTCAGACACAACGAGTCTGCTCAATGGAGATTGTTTTACGATCAGTGAGGATGTATTCCCCCATTGTTCATTTTTCAAGAATGGGGAATGTCAGTCTTGTGATGTTGGGTACGTTTTGATCAAAGACGAGTGTAAACCCTGTACGTATCCGTGTCTTTCGTGTTATGGAACACAAACAAACTGTCTTTCATGCGACAGTACGCACTTTTTACAAAACACGAGTAGTGTCACAAACATCTGTTATGATCTTTCCATCTTAAAAGAGACGTGCAAAGTACCAATAGGGCAGATGGGGTGTGCTGTTTGTAAAGATAGTTATTATGTTGAGAACAATGTTTGCAAGGATTGTACCGCAAATTGCATACAGTGTCACTTTAACACCTCATGTGAGAAATGTGATGAGAACTATTTCTTGTATCAAAACGATTGTAAGTCGTATGAAGAGTTGACAAATTGTGAATTAAAAACCAATATTGGCTGTGCCAAGTGCACTGATGGTTATTTCGTGCAGAATCAATTTTGTACTCCATGTCATTTAAAAACAGACAATTGTGCTACGTGTGGGTCTGGGAGTTGTGATAGTTGTGAGACTGATTATATTCTCACATTAAAGCATTGTGTCTATTTGAAAGACGTTTCTCAATGTTTAGAAGTGACGAGTTCGAAGTGTACGCGATGCTCGTTTTGGTATTCTGTGTCGGACACGGGGTTGTACTGTGAAAAGGCTGTTGTATGGTGGGTTATTCTCTTAATAGTTCTCTTCTGTGTCCTTTTCATCGCTCTTTTCGTTATATTAGTGATGTTCTTAACGCTTTTTGTCATGCGGAAGACAATGAAGAACAAGCGTCCCGACAATGTGAATTATTTCTACATGCGAGATACTGCCATCCGTTTTGAGAGCATTGGTCGTAGTTTCCTTGTTGTCGACAAGAAGGTTCTTCAGTTTGCGTTGACCAATGACAATGAAGTAGCTATCCCCGTCGGTAAAGTTGCAGAAGAAAAGATCTGCCTTGGCAACACTGGTAAAGAAAAGTTGAAAGTTCAGTTCACAACCAAAGAGGATGACATTGCCAAATTTATATTAGAGATATATCCTGAAATGGCGGTCTTAAAAAGTGGAGAGGCGTGTGAATTCCAAGTGAAACTGACCCCACAGTGTACCTGTAAGATCAACGAGAAGCTTCAAATAGTTTCCGTTGATTTAAGAAAAGGTGTAAATAACACGGACGAAATAGTAATAGAGACGGAGACACAGATGTCGACTCGACTTGATTATGACGAGCTGATACTTGATAAGCAAATAGGTGAAGGAAGTTTTGGGACAGTCTATAAAGGGATGTTCAGAAACAATCCCGTTGCTATTAAAATTATGAAAATCCCCGATGATACTGACGCAATGGAAGAATTTGAGAAGGAAGTTGCGATGTTAGACAAATTCCGGAGTGACTTTGTCGTCCATTTTTATGGCGCTGTGTTTATTCCAACAAAGACGTGTATGGTCACTGAATTTGCGAAATATGGGAGTTTGATGGCGATGTTTACAAAGAAAAAGAAACTTGATTATTATCTGCGAGTGAAGTTGATGATTGACTCTGCAAAGGGAATACAATACTTACACACCAATGGTATAATGCATCGAGACATTAAGTCGGACAATATCTTAGTGTTTTCTGTCGATAAAGGGATTCTTGTGAATGGCAAGTTGACTGACTTTGGTTCATCGCGGAATATCAATATGATGCGAAGTAACATGACCTTCACAAAAGGTATTGGAACGCCTGTTTGTATTTTGATATGAATATCTCTAAATTAATAAATTAATAAATCACAAATAGATGTACATGAGTCCTGAAATCTTGGATCAGTCCAAATACAGTGAGAAAGCAGACATCTTCTCGTTTTCCATAGTCATGTTTGAGATCTTCCATTGGGGAAATCCATATTCAAAAGATAAGTTCCCATTCCCTTGGAATATCGCAGAGTTTATCTCACAAAACAAACGATTAAGTAAACCATCAGACATGCCAGATTGGCTTTTCGATTTGATCGCAGCCTCATGGGATCAAAATCCTTCGCAACGGCCACACATCAATTCGATTGTTAATACCCTTCAGGATAACTTGCCTGACTGGACTAAGAATAAATAATGCTCGTGTTTATTTTATTAGAAATATACTATACTTTTATTAGAATACAACCGTTGTGTTGGTTCAATAAAGAACAGAGAACCTTAACAGAATCAATTCTTCAATTTTCTCATAAGTCTGCTGATTAACTTTTCTTGCTGCTCCGGACCTACAGGAGCCTCTTGCACTCTGACCGTCTCTCCTTCTTTGAAATTTTCAACCTTTTTGTTTTGGACTTGGTCGTCGCCTTCCCGTTCTTTCCCAAAGCCTCTGTATATCCTATACTCATCTTCATTGCACAATTCAATTTTGACGCTCTCAACCTCCTCCCCTCGGACTTTTCTGTGATACGCAGCAACTCCACTTTTGTCCCAGAAGCTCTGTGGTGTTGGTACATACTCATCGAGTTTGACTCCATCAACAAAATGATACACAGAGGGCTCTCTTGTCTTGAGAACATCGACCAACTCCTTGAATGTTTGTGCCAAGAAGTAGATCTTAGGGATCTCTGGCATTTCCCCTTTAAAAACAGACTTCACTTCGACCTGTTTAATCTTGTTCTTCCCATTAGCAAAATACTCAGCTATTTCTTTTCTCGTGAGTTTCTCTTTCTCGTCTTTTGTCATCTTGTCGAAGCCATCGACCGCTTCCATTCGAAGTGTGATTAAGTTCATTGCGTCCTTCATCCCAACTCCCTCTAACGACCCACCGATAATAACATCCCCAAGTGAATCAGCCGAGATCAATGGTACAAACTGGCCACCTGTTATTTGTGCAACGGCTCGCATTAAGTCTCTAAAGTGTCTGTAAATAGATCGAATGGGTTCACAAGCGATCGAGTAGACCTGGATATCTTTTTGAACAGCCTTCAGCACGACTTTTTGGAAGTCGATCCCACAGGGGCACCCATCAGGAAACCCGTCGTATTGGATATTAAATCCATGGGGTGGCGCGTCACATATCCAAATGATTATCTTCGCTGCATATTGTCTGAAATCGTATTCGACGGCTGTGGAAAACGCACATGTCACACTCTCAGGTCCGTCCATTCCACCTCCATAAGCACTTAACTGTGCAATGTCGTTATAAATGTCATCGGAAGTAGTCTTCCAGCCGTACTCTTTAACAGCAAAAGATGGTTCAATTGGTTTGTGGTCTTTGTACTCTACCAAACTGAATCGAAGATCAATGTTCTCGGACGTCTGGATTGTTTCAACTATGTGGCGGATGTTCCGTTTAGCCGATTCGAGATATTGTCCCATCGAACCAGTACTGTCTACCAAAAACACTAAATCCAATTGTTGTGTCATTTAAGCTTTTTTTTACAGTTGAATATATTTTAAGTTCAGTAGTAGTAATAACAATACTAATTTGGCGTTCGTATTCTATTCTTTAGCTTTTTTTTCCCTTCGAAAGTGTTGAAACTATAAAAGTAATTATATGGAATTGTTTTGGTAGTTTTGTTGTAATTTTATATTTCAATAATACTATTTTGCATTTGTTTTCATTCTTTAAGTCAATTGTAAAGATATCAATTCATTTTATTCCCAAATATACTTTTTTAAAAATTAACTTTATAAATTATCATGCACATTTGGGTGATTTGTTGAATAACTATCAATTTGGATTATTTCCTCAATCTTTTTTTATTAGTGTATTTAGTTATATAATTTTTTATTTTATAATACATTTTAATTTGACTTTTTAACAAGATGATAATATAATAATACAGTTAACCATATTATTAATAATAAAAATGATAATTTAAATAGAATTAATAAAAGAATTAAAAACATACTAAATATTATATTAAATATATTTTAGTAAGTATATAATACTCTACAAATTTCAAAACAATCAAATCAACAAAAAGAAGTTCAAAAAAAGAAGTGAGCCACTATGGACGATATTCCACATCCTTTTTATGTTCACCTAAATTTTGCAATAACTTCGATTAGAAACATTCACTGGTTCGCGCCAGTTGTTGTTGTATTGATTGAATCAATTTATGTGTTTTACATTGCTCCATCAAATGGAGTTACAGAAACCCCATTTGGAGTGTTTTTGGTCAGTTTTGGTGTTACTCTAACTCTCTTGTTTTTGGTGGTGTACCTCCTCATCATGACAAGGAAACCACATCACCACGAGCCACACGCAACGGAAGAAGAGAAAAAGGAGGCATATGACGTGGCGATCGAAGCAGAAGCAAACAACTGGAATTGTTATGATGTGGACAAACGTGTGAGGTATTGTGCGGTATGCAAACATTACATGACGAGGCGGACGTATCATTGTAAAGAGTGTGGTGTATGTACCGAATTCAAAGATCATCATTGTGATTACTTTGGGTTTTGTATTGGGAAGCACAACCTTGCGTTATTTTATGCGTTTTTTCTTACATTAACAGCACTGTGTATCTATGGTTTTGTCTGTTTTGGTCATCTTTTGTCTCGTTTTGAAGTTTGTTTTGTTTTAGTTTAAGAAGTGTAGTAAAACTCACTTGCAGTACACTGGATTTTCACCACTTTTTGCATTGAAAATTCTCGGCCTCATTTATATACTTTCTGCTCTTGGAATGGGTATTTTCCTTTCTTACTACTTTATGAAGAAAGCCTTTACAATATTGGCGAAAGGGTGTACACAATTTGAATATATGTTAGAGGGGAGAGTTTCTGTGAAATTAGTGAAAGTTTGTTGTGTTGATTGATTTGTAAAAAAATAGTGTTGACAATTAGTTGTTCTCTTTTCATCATCTTACTTGGTGGGAAATTATCAACATTTTCTTTTTCGAATTTACAGACTTGGATGAACAAGCTAATGGATAAGTTTCACTTCAAATCAAACAAGTTAAAATAATTTACTTTTATTGAGTCTGTATCTACTATTTTTGTTCTATTCTAAATTTTTTAATTCTAAAATAAAATTATAACAAATTATATATTAAATAATTATCAAACTATGATGATTGTTATATTTTCACACAACTCACTCCAATTCTTGTATCATAATAAAATAATAGACTTTATTTGTATGTATTATTATTTTGATACTATTATTTTTAATACATTTTTCGATATTAATAGTTTTTACACTTAAACTATGATTTTACTATTAATTTCAAAGAATAATTAAGTTCTAAATATTTAGTTAATTTCAATTTATTTGACCTTTTCCCGATATTTTCCTTTATAATATACCTAAAAAAAACATAACACATTCCCATTTCAGTTTAAATTCTAAGAAATAAAAAAACTCAAACTGCTGTATTTAGCATCAAACTCCAAATTATTATTAGAAAAATAAGTGAATTGGAGTAAAACTATCAAACTATAACAATTAAACTATACTATTAACATAATTAGAATTGGATCAATTAAAAGGAGTTCTATAAAACTTAAAAATTAGTATGGATAAGGTAGCTCACACCTTTAAAGAAACCGAGACGGCGACATCCGACAATGTATGTGTCCACTGCAACAAGACGATCAAGAAGAAGCAGAAAGTATTTGTATGCACCGTCTGTAACATTTACATTCACAAGAAATGCATAGACAAGTTCCGAAAGGATCCCACATCTTGTCGTCGACCAGTCAAGCACGAGGACGAGATGCCACCTGATGATGTTATATTAAAGCGCTTTGAGGAGTTAGCCAAAGACATGAAGTTAGGGGATATCAAGAACATTCCGATAGCCAACCAATGGAAAATGGTTCAGGAGTTTGACAAGAAGCAACGCAAAGACGTTTACATTCAACAAAATGCGGCGCAGAAAGGAAATTGGAAAGTTGCCATTTCAGAGCCAAAGTATTTGTCAGAGTATTTGGTCGACCATTGTGACATTGAAGTTCTGAAAGAGATGGAAATAGTAACTCGGTCCTCTGCCGTTAGTTACCTATCGACATTTGTTCGAGTCGGTGGTGTTACTAACTTATTGAAACAATATGAGAAGATCATCAACAACAAGGAAAACACTGAGCAAATCATCGACGAGGAACGAGCGTTTTGTCAAGTCCTTCGTTCTGTGTTTTCAGAACAAGATGCCTCAGTTGCGTTGATCGAGTCTGACAATGGGATTGAGTTGATTATACGAGGCCTTTCATCGACACGAATTACGCCGGTCCATCAATACTATTTGATGTTGATATTAGCCTTAACGTCATCTATGTTACAGCACCCATTACAGAAAGAAGTATACTTAGGTGGTGATCTTGCTGTGATCAATGGCTTTGCCAAAATGGTGACTGATGGGTACGACACAAAGCAGTTTGAATCGTTCTTTAAAGTCTTTTGCAAGTCGAAGGATACCATGTACCGAAAGGCAGCTATGTTGATGATAAACAACATATTAGATCAGCCTGAATATGAGCAGAGAGTTGAATTAAGAGGGTATTTACTTGACCTTGGAATAGTCGATGAATTGAATAACTTGAAGAAAGAAGCTTGGTCCAATTCTGTGAAAGAGTTGATGGATTATGTCGATGACTTCTTTGAAAATCAAGAGGCAGATAAGAGTGAATTTGCAACGCGATTTGATGATTTGAATGAAAAGGTCAATTTAAATAAGACGAGTAACATCGAGAAGTACATTAGTGAGAGAAGTTCAATGTTTGACTGTTCCGATATTGTCAACAACATTTACAAAGAGATCATATTCTCTGTTAAAGCCAACAAAGACGCGATGAACACTGCAAAGAAGATTATGATTCTTACCGAAGTAGTCAGACAAATCAATTTACAGTCAGGTAAAGTGTCGAATAAAAACACTGACGATGGCAAATTGAAAGCAGACGAGATCTTCGATCGAATGAAGTTGGAATGGGACAAGTTGACATTCAGTGAGAACGTTCAAGGCAATTACAACACGAAGAAGGCTGAATTGGATTCATTAATAACTCAGTCCAATATTTTAGCTGAGAAGTTGACTGGCGTCGAGAAGGAAATTGCTGATGGTGAGAAGAACAATTTGAATCAAATGCAGAACGTCAAGAAAGATGAGAAGAAGAACGACGATATTAAGAATGAGACTAAGAAGATTAATGATGAAATCGAAGCTATCAAGAAGAAGATCGATGAGGTAAAAGCTCAAATCGCTGCAAAACCAAAAACAGTTCAAGTCGAAAAGGGTGCAGTTGAGGCTCCACCACCTTTGGCACCACCGGGAGGTTTGTTACTTTCTCTATACTCATTTGATTTGGTAAAAACTAATGATCAGGATTAGCACCACCACCAGGACTCGCTCCGCCGGGAGGTCTTGCGCCACCTCCAGGATTAGCTCCACCTGGTGGACTTGAACCCCCAGGAGGAATGCTCCCACCCCCAGGTCTTGCTCCTCCAGGTGGTATGTTACCGCCACCAGGTTTAGAACCACCAGGAGGATTAATGCCACCACCTGGACTTGCTCCACCGGGAGGTATGATGCCACCACCAGGTTTGTATTTAAAGTTCATGATATTAAGTTGAATAGTATTTTATAATAGCATTGTAGAGGAGTTTAATACTCTCGAAATGATATAACGCATAGGATTAGCGCCACCAGGTGGATTAATGCCACCACCGGGACTTGCTCCACCGGGAGGTATGATGCCGCCACCAGGTTTGTTATTACTTCGACACAATTTATTATCAAGTATCAATAACATATAGGTTTGGCCCCACCGGGAGGATTAATGCCACCAGGAATGATGCCGCCACCCGGTCTTGCACCTCCAGGAGGTTTGTATATATATTAAATATACCATCAATTATATTGACACATAGGATTAGCCCCACCGGGAGGATTGATGCCGCCAGGAATGCTTCCCCCACCAGGAGGTTTGTAACTATTTGATAATTTGAATGCCATGTATTAATATTTAGGACTTGCACCACCAGGTGGTATGATGCCTCCGGGAATGATGCCGCCCCCAGGTGGATTAGCACCGCCTGGTATGATGATGCCGCCAGGAATGATGCCACCGCCTGGGATGGGTATGCCAGGTATGATGGGTGGGTTTGGTGCTCCACAAGTGTTGAATGGATTAGTCGATAAGCTTCCGAAGCCTGAAGGGAAAGTGAAGAACTTCATGTGGCAGAAGATTAATGACAAGCAGTTGAAAGGATCTGTCTTTGAGAAGATGTCCACCCTTGGTGATATGCAAAAGAAATTGAATTTGAAGAGTTTGAATGAGTCGTTCAAAGTAGTTGAGAAGGTGAAAGTAGTTGAGCCCGAGGGTGGTGCCAAAGAGCCCAAAAAGGCGGGACCAATTTGTATTTTAGACGCAAAGAACAATCAGACCTTCACTATTTTGTTAAAAGGGTTTAAAGGGAAGACCCCCGATGAAGTCTGTAAAGCAATTAATTCGTTGGATCAGACCGTCTTTGAAGAGAGTTCGACAATTAAGACGATGTTAAAGTTACTTGAAGATGCCAAAGAAGAGATGGGGAATGTTGAAGAACATATTAAAGAAAAAGGGACTGATAACTTAGGTACTGCCGAGTTGTTCTCTCATGCCATTTCGAGTGTCACTAACGTTGTATTGAAGCTTCAGAGTTTCCAGTCTAAAATGGAACTTCCAGTGAAGTTAGATGAAGTTGGACCAAACATTGTGTTAGTCACAAAAGCGTCGAGTGAACTATTGAAGAGTAAGAAGTTTGTGCATTTACTCGAAGTGATGCTTCTAGTTGGTAATTTCCTCAACAAAGGTACAGCAAAAGGGAATGTGACTGGGTTTAAGTTTGACACGCTTGGAAAGACTCTTGAGACTAAGACCGGCGACAACAAGAAGACTCTTTTACACGTCATGGAAGGCTATGCTCAAGAAAAATTGAAGGAGGAAGTTATCGGATGGAATGAAGAACTTCCTGATGTACCTTTAGCCGCTAAAGTCCCTGGTGCACAGTTTGATTCTGACATTAAAAACCTTGAAAAGATGTACAAGGAAATTGAAACAGCTGTTTCTAAGATACCCGATGATGGATCGCCCTTCATTCCAGTAATGAAGAAATTCCTTGAAGAGAATCGAGTGAAGCTTGATAAGGTAGCAAAAGACTATGAAGAGATGAACAAAGAGTTTGTCGAAGCAGTGTCCTATATGGCCCTCGACAAGAACAAACCGCCACCTCCCGAAGAGTTCTTCTCAACACTCTCCAAGTTCATGGCTGATTGGAAAAGAGTTGGTGATGATAATCAGAAGGAGAAGGAGAAACTCGAAAAAGAAGCAAAGAAAGCTGCTGCCAAGAATGCTAAGAAAACGACTAAGAAGGTAGCTTTAGCAGCCATTCCTGGAGAAGAGAAACTCGGGCCTAAAGCTGCTGCATTCAGCAGTGGGTTGGCTAAGAAGTCAACAAAGAAGAAGGTAGTCAAAAAGACGATGGACATTTAAGTCTTCTTACTTATCTTCTATTTCACTTTGAATAACTCTTTAGTATTAAATATAGTAATGTATAATAACTGACTTGGTATTATTTAATATAATATATTTTATCATTTTTATAATTCATATCTAATGAGAAATATTTTCGGGATTTGTTTTTTTCACATGATTGTAGTATAGTAAAAATATTATATATATTTAGTATTTCAAGTCAAACATCAACACAAAAATCTTTATTTATTATAACGGAATAATAGTTATTTTTTTTAACAAAATAACACATATTACTCCACAAAAGAAATCCGATAAAAACAAATCTGTTTTTAGCAGTTTTTGTTTTTAACATTTTAATTATAATATTTTAATTATAAATACTTATTTTTTCACAACCAACCAAAACACACTTCCAAAAACACATCATTATTCATACTAATACAAATAATAATAAAAACTATACATATAAACTATTTTTCATCATAGGCAAAACTGTTATAAAGGAACAATATAAGCAGAATGGGAGTCTTGTTTTCCAAACCCGATGATACTTTTCAACAAGTGCAATTTGAGGTTCAGATTCAACGCGATGAATTGGTGAAAACTGAGAAGAAATACACTCTTGAAATCACAAATTATGGGAACAAAGCAAAGGAACTGAACAGAGTAGGTGATAGAGAGAATGCACTCCGAGTCCTTAAACTCAGAAAAATCCGACAGAGGCAACTTACAGAGGTGACAAACCAGCGGAACAACATAGAGATACAGGTTTGTAGTAGCTTTGGTGTTCTTCTTTCCTCTGCAATCTATTTAATATAATA